AGTAACTTATTTTGTGCCCAGTATTATTCTAGGATGCTTGTGTGTATGCATTCATATAATCCACATAAGCACGTGAGACAGGTACCGTATTTATCCATTTTACAGATAAGTAACTGCCCAAGATCACACAGCTAGTAAGTAGTGGAACCAGCATCTGAATGTCAGTGGTCTGGCTCCATAATTTTTTGTACTCACACTGTACCCCCTCTATTATATTACAAAATAGTTACCTAAATTCAGAATGAAAAATTGGTGTCAAGGCTCTGTGATATTAACACAGAGATCTGTACCTGTGACATATATTGTCACTTTCTATGACAGAATGGAAATAAGGCTCAGAACAAAAAAGGCAGGAAGCAAGCTCAGAAATGGCCCCAGTGGCCCTTGGCTCAAGAACATTTACATAAAACTAAAATGGGCCCTTAACTTGTCATCTACAATACACTTCAGTCAGGAAAGCTGCCATAACAGTGGAACCCAAGCCTAATCAAATAGATTTAGTAGATACTGATTTTCTGAATTTTTACAATAATAAAAAGATTTGGAGTTTATTATATATTAAAGTACACAAAACAGACCTTCAAAATACATTACTTTATGTCCTTTTTAAAAACAATGGTTCTAGGTCAAGGGTTTATATCCCGATTATGGCCAGCTCCCCCCGCAAAAAAAAATTCTTAAAAACAATGGTTCCATAGAAAAAACTTTTTTCTTTCATCCAAGTTTACCATTTGATGTTTCTAAAACTTTAAGACCTACCACTTTTACCTCAGCTGAACATAATTCTGCCAAGAAATTGCAATTAGTATTAATTAAAGCACAATTTTCTCTTAGAAAAATAAAACACCAGATATTATATTTCACTAAACTACAAACCAAATTTGATTACATAAATTTCAAGAAATAGCTTATTTTCATTGTTGCAACTGCTTTCTGATACTTAAGGGACTACATCTGGTCCTTGACTAGAATAATCCAACATTTCAGTACATAAGAATTATTATTATGATCTAATTTGTTATAATGGAATTTACATTTTACATTATAAAATGAATTCTCCCAATGTAAGAATATAAATAGTTGCTGTGATTTCTGATCTGCTGTAGTAGTAGAAAAATTACTGTTTGTAATATTTAAGAGGCTTTCAATGGCTGTCTCACATTCGTGTTTTCTGCTATCTCATAACTTAATAATATATTCCAGAATATGAAGACTTAGATGTTATCATAAGACCTAGATGACTTAATGAAATAAGCTGTCTAACCAGTTTTACCCATAGCAAAACTTCATATTTCACTCAATTAATAATATTCGTTAAACATATTTACATGTAAATGTCAAAAGTACTAAGAACATACTATTCAAAAGTTAAGAAGCTAAGAAGCACAAAAATCTACAATGTTTTGTGTCATTGTAGATTCATAATAAATGTGTGCTGAGCTCAATTAAAATGTCTATTTATGAAAATAAGCTATGTTATTCTCTGTCATTGCTTCTCATGATCAAAATTCTAAATATTGATTTAAATCTTAAAGTCACTTCTTTAGGAACTGGGTGGGAGATAAAGGGGGGTGGAGATTACCCTTGCAGTACAGTTTAACTATATCTCAGGAGTACTCTTATCCAGATTTCTACTATCACTTAACTGGAGTACATTTAATTTGTTTCATGTTCTGCAGAACTGCTGTGATCAGTCATGTCACCAGACATTCCAAAAGAAACTATATTCAGCATGACAGTTTGAAAAATACTAGAGCCTGGAGCCTTATGGAAATTGGCCCACAAAATAAAGATCATTATTGTTTATACATAAATGAATAATATCGTTAGAAAATTAAACTTAGTGATTCTTTTTTAAAAAAGCAAAGTCAAGAAATTATTTCAATTTATCTAACGAGGGAAGGAAAATAGCCTATAAATTTTTTTAATTGTTTAGGGAAAGAGGTGAGGATGGGCAGCAGCTCTCGGTTCTATGACAGGGCCACTAGGCTAACTCTACATAATCAACAATCACTAAACTATCCGCACCTTGTGGAAAACAGCTGTGAATACTTCTCAAGTTCTGAGCACTTTTTTTTTTTTCCTTTTTGTCTTTTTTTACTGTCTGGTAACGGGATCGCAACCCTCGGTGTCGCGCCCGCACCGGGGACCGGCAACGGGATCGCAACCCTCAGTGTCGCGCCCGCACCGCACTCAGCCAGTGAGCGGGAACCGGTCTCCACATGGGATCCGAACTCTCGGCGGGAGCGCCGCCACGCTCCCAAGCAGCGCACTCTCCAGTGTGCCACCGGGCCGGCCCAAGTTCTGAGCACTTTTACTGGACACCTACTAAGTTCTGGGAACTTCCTCAGATAGTGAGAACACAGAGATGGATAAAATATAATCCTTGCACTCAAAAACTAAAAGTTTAGTAAAGAGGATAAAGTTTTTAAAAAATTATAATTCAGTGTGGTGTAACGTGATATGCTATAACAAAATTGTAAACAATTGGCTATGGGAAAACAGAGGAGAAATGAATACCTCCCCTCCAAATACCTAGAAAAACGACTCTGAAGGTTTCCTGACTTTTATATAATAAACTTTGATTAGTAGGGTTAAGGTTCTAACATGCCATTTTTTAGAAGACTCTAAAGACAATATACTAATTAAGAACTCCAAAACACTTTCTGAATATGTAAGGGCTGAGAGAAGGGTTAAACTCTGAAAATGTTTTTTTTTAAAGACGACCACTAAGGGGATCTTAACCCTTGACTTGGTGTTGTCAGCACCACGCTATCCTAAGTGAGCTAAACGGCCATCCTTATATAGGGATCCGAACCCACGGCCTTGGTGTTATCAGCACCACACTCTCCCAAGTGAGCGAAGGGCCAGCCCTCTGAAAATGTTTTTTAAACTATGCTTCCTCAAAATTTTTATGGGCTCCTCAGAGTTCTCAGGGTCCATCACAGGATTAGGGTGGCAAATGTACTCCAGGCTGGTAATAGCCTTAAAGGGTATCTTTATCCCTCCCAAATCTCCATCAGCATTCCCCTATCCCACCCCACATAAACATTTAATCTAAGTAAAAATGGTGTACTTGCTATGCAAATAGATTCAAGACAGGTCCCCTAGCATTAACTGATGGCCTAGTCCATAACTGGAAACTATGAGCATTTCAAGTTTCTGATTGATAGTGGTACCAGTAACTTTCCTCTTACAATGCTACCTGGGAGTTCATATCCCTACTTTATGTGGTGGATAATGTCAGTAAACTCTTTTCTTTTTTTTTTTTTTTCCTTTTTGTCTTTTTTCGTGTCCGGCAACGGATTGCAACCCTCAGTGTCGCGCCTGTACCGGACCGGGACCGGCAACGGTATCACAACCCTCGGTGTTGCACCCGCACCTCGCTCAGCCAGTAAGCGGGAACTGGTCTGTATGTGGGATCTGAACCCTCGGCGGGAGCGCCGCCGCGCTCCCAAGCGGCGCACTGTAGCAGTGCGCCACCGGGCCGGCCCCAGTAAACTCTTTTCTGCAAGAGTAAAGCATAAATTTTTGGTACAATTTCCTCTTGATTCTATAAAGATAGGTATTTCCCTTCAATAAATTTAGATGAACCTAGTTTTCCCTTTGAAAATTAGAGCCTATTTATTTCATGTTAATGAATAAGTGAAGCAACATTCGGATGAAGCAACATTCTTACACAAAATGAATAAGAGCATCAGAGATTAACATCTTTTTTTTAGTTTGTAAAGCAACAATAATAGAAGAATGTGTCACATTACTCTTTAAAGTAGCATAGATTTTCTGATTTACGATGCTGAAAGATTATCCAAGAAATTTTGTACATAACACAAAATATAAGAGTTTTGTTTAATACAAAATGATCTTTAAAAAATTTTTTAATTATGGTAAAAAAACTATAAAATTTACCACCTTAACTGTTTCTAAGTATACAGTTTAGTAATGTTAACTACATTCATATTGTTCTGCAACCAATCTCTAGAGCTTTTTCATATGGCAAAACTAAAACTCTGTCCCCATTAAACAACTTTTAACATTTCTCTCTCCCTCCAGCTCCTGGCAAACACTATTTTACTTTCTGTTTCTATTAATTTGACTACTCTAGACACCTCCTATAAGTATAATCATACAATATTTGCCTTTTTGGGACTTGCTTATTTCACTCAGTCCTCAAGTTTCATCCATGTTGTAGCATGTGTCAAAATTTCCTTCCTTTTTAAGGCTGTATGTATATAACACATGTATGTATATAACACATGTATGTATATAACACATGTTGTTTATCTACTCATCCATCAGTGGACACTCTACTTTCTTCCGCCTCTTGACTACTGTAAATAGTGCTGCTATGAACATGAGTGTGCTAATATGTCTCTGAGATCCTGCTTTCGATTATGTTGGATACAGACCCAGAAATGGAATAGCTGGATAATATGGTAATTCTACTTTTAATTTTCTGAGGAAACTTCACATTGTTTTCGATTGTGGCTACACCATTTTACACTCCAAAATGACTTTTTATTTAGAGTAAATTAAATTAAAATGAATTTTAGAGTAAATAAATTATGAAAATTAAAATCTTGAAAATAAATAATAGTATTTTGAGGAAAATTAACAACAAAAAATCCGTAGCTTTAGATTATTTGAGACACAAAACCTTGCCCCATGAACTATTTATGTGGGGAAAAGACATTGATTCATATACTTATTATCAGACATTGGTTATAAGTGATGAGTAATTATTATCACTTATTCAGACATTTATTATCTGGTACTGGCTCAGACACATTGATTTTAAAGATTATACACCAAAAAAATTCTTTCCTGCCATTTATTATCCTACTAGAGATACCACCAAATCAGTTTCATGCTAAGAAAGAGTGGCTCACAAATTGAAGATTTCAGGATTAAAAATATACATATATACACACATACATATAAATACTTACATATATATATGCAAGTATATTCCTATTATCAAAGATCCAAAGAGAAATTACCTGATGGTTTCTTCATGATATAGAGAACTAACAACTGGGCCACCAAAACCAGTATTTGCTTCTTTTCCTTTCTTCTCTGGTATCTAGAGGGGGTTGGGGAGAGTGAAAAAAAGATATGGATTAAAGCAGTGTGTATTTAAACCAGTTACAAAACATTACTTTGCTATAAAATACTAAGGACTTCACCCTAAACCATTTCTTCAAGCCCTAGTAACAATTCTAAGGTGGTATCAGAAAGGTAATAGGACTCTCAGGTCATCACAGAAGTGGAATGGGTACCCACTGGCAATCTAAGGTCATTCCGGTACTGCATTCTGGAGCCACTTAAAAGCAAATTCCCCAGCTGATTGTGAGATGATGTTCAATGTGGAAAATATAAATGATCAAGTAAAAAAAAATTAAGTATAAAATATAAATACCAGACATGAATGTGATCGGGAAAGTTATGTCTAGATTTAAAAAACTGTTCTCAAATAAGAAATAAACTAAACTGTAGCAAAACTTCAAATTCAACCATAAAGAAAATGTTTGGGTGTAAAGAAGGAAGGAGAGAAGGCAGAAGAAAAAGAGAGGAAAGGAGGTTTAGATCTAAAATAAAAGAAAAGAAAACTGCCATGGAAACACTTTCTAAAACTAAGGGTTCAATAGGTCCCCTTATTGTGGTCAAAACCACAACATTAATTTAGAAATAAGGTTCTTCTAAAACATGTAATGTGGAAGCAATGAATTGGGATGTTATTGTCTGAAAAGATCTAACTGCAACCTCTGCCAAAGCCCACATCATCTGCAAGACATTTTTTAGGCCAGGATACCCTGCAAAAGTCAAAACTCTGACTCTAAACCTAGATATGATTTCAGAATTAAAACTGAATTATTTTATTGTCTAATTTGACTGCAAAAAGACTAGTTTTACTTCAAAAGAATACAGGTAATTCCCATATACATTTTTTCTCCTGTTCTTTAAGGAAGGGGCTTTGTTTTATTGTTGTTACCATTTTTGTTTGTTTATTTTGGTCTGTCGACTACTGGGTTAAGGAAAAAGTTGTTGGAGACGGCATATTCTATCAATTCCTAACAACACTGGGGGAATTAAGGTTTCAAGAAATGGTGGGGCCGGCCCAGTGGCGCACTCGGTAGAGTGTGGCGCTTGGGAGTGCGGCGGCGCTCCCGTCGAGGGTTCGGATCCCATATAGAGACCGGTCCGCTCACTGGTTGAGCGCAGTGCGGGCATGACACCGAGGGTTGCGATCCCGTTACCGGTCACGAAAAAAGACAAAAAGGGGGGAAAAAAAAAAAACAAGAAAAGCTTCCAATATTTAAAATTTTAAAACCACTTTTTTCAAATTTATTTTTAATGGACATAAAATTGTATTTATCATGTATAACAAACATAACATTTTGAAGTATATATACATTGTAGAATGGTTAAATCTAGCTAATTAAAGATGCATTACCTCACAGCTATTTTGTGGTGAGAACACAATATTCATTCTCTTAGCATTTTTCAAGAATATATCATCATTAACTGAAGCAACCATGCTGTTCAAAATCAAGACACTTATCAATATATGATAGAAAAAAATTATAATATCATAAACAACTATTAACATGATTAAATAACAAAATATATAAAGTATATTAGTATGATGTTGGCAAATAAGCAGCACTAAATAAATGCCAGATCTTTGTTCTCTGAGGACCATTTTTATTAGAGAACAAATGTTGCAAAGAATTTCTGGGATAGAGAATGCTTTTCATTGTATTTAAAAAAGTACAATCAAAGAGATAATTTATTTTATTTAATCCAATTATACGCCAAATACATGTTCTATTGGTAGGATAAAGGTGAAACATACTTGGTGCTCAAGAGATGCTTACTAAATAAATAGTAAAATGGAAAATGAGAAAACTGGATACCAAAGGGAAAAAGAAATAGAGACAGAACTAAGTATGAGTGTCAGGCACAGCTTCGTGAAAAAGAACTGACATCTAGAGGGTAACAGGAGGAAATGTAGATTACCTAGTTTTTGGTAACGACATTTTAGATACAACACCAAAAATATGATCCATGAAACAAAAAAATTGATTAGTTGGTCTTTATTAAAACTAAAAACTTCTGCTCTTTGAGAGCCATTTAGACAACGAAATAACAAGCCAAAGACTGGGAGAAAATCTTTACAAAATACATATAAAGGACTGGTATCCAAAATATTCAAAGAATTCTTAAAATTCAACAGTAAGAAAAGAAATTATCCAATTAAAAAGTGAGTAAAAGATCTGAGCAGACACTTTGCCAAAGAAGATACAAAGATAGCCAAATAAGCAAATGAAAGATGCTCAACATTCTGTCATTAGAAATGCCACATTGTATATTGACAAAATAAAATTAAATTTTTTTTTAAAAAGAAATGCTAATTAAAGCAAAGATGAGAAATTGCTCACACCTATTAGTATGGCTAAAATCCAACATGTCCTTTGATAGGGAAGTGGATAAACAAATGGTACACACATAAAATATTATTCAGCGATAAAAAGAAATGAGCTATTCTAAATTAAGAAAAGAGAGAGAAGAATAAAATAGTAATCTCAGAGAAAGAGGAGACATTATAACTAATGCCACAGAAATACAAAGGATCATAAGAAGCAACTGTGAACAATTATATGCCAACAAATTGGATAACCTAGAAAAAATGGATAAATACCTAGACTGAATTATAAAGAAATAAAAAATCTGAAAGATCTATAACCAGTAAGAAGATTGAATCAGTAATTAACCCCCCCCTCAAGAAAAGCCTGGGACAAGATGACTTCACTGGACAATTCTATCAAACCTTTGAAAAAGAATTAATGCCAATCCTTCCCAAACTTCCAGAAAACTAAAAAGGATGGAACACTTCTAAATTCATTTTATGAGTCCAGCATTAACCTGATACCAAAGCTAGACAAAGTACCACAAAAAAAGAAAACTACAGACCAATATCCCTCATAAATAATTGATGCAAAAATCAACTGAATACAGGGCCAGCCCGTGGCTCACTCGGGAGAGTGTGGTGCTGATAACACCAAGGCCACGGGTTTGGATCCCCACATAGGGATGGCTGGTTAGCTCACTTGGGAGAGCATGGTGCTGACAACACCTTACTGGTCATCTTTAAAAAAAAAAAAAAAATCAACCGAATACTAGCAAACTGAATTCAATGGCACATTAAAAGGATTATAAGCCATGACCAAGCAAGATTTATTCCCGGAATGCAAGGATGGTTCAACATACAAAAATCAATCAATGCAATACATGACATTAACACAATGAAGGACAAAACCACATGATCATTTCAATTGATGCAGAAAAAAACATTTGACAAAAGTCAATGCCCTTTTATGATAAAAACACTCAATAAACTAGGAATAAAAGGAAACTACTTCAACATAATAAAGGCTATATATTACAAGGCCACAGCTCACATCATACTCAGTGGTGAAAAACGGAAAGGTTTCCCTCTAAGATCAGGAACACGGCAAGGATACTCACACTCATCACTTCTATTCAAGGTAGTATCCTAGCCAGATCAACTGACAAGAAAAAGAAATAAAAGGCATCTAAATGGGAAAGGAAGAGGTAAAATTATCTCTGTTCAAGTCATCATAATATTACATGTAGAAAATCTAAATATTCCACTAAAAACTGCTAGAAATTAATAAATTATTAATAAATTAATAATTCAGCAAAGCTGCAGGATACAAAACCAACACACAAAAATCAGGTTATGTCTGAGGGAGACAGATAATAAATACATAAGTTTTCCGGGCCGGCCCGGTGGCGCACTGGAGAGTGCGCCGCTTGGGAGCGCGGTGGCGCTCCCGCCGAGGGTTTGGATCCCATGTGGAGACCGTTTCCCGCTCACTGGCTGAGCGTGGTGCGAGCGCAACACCAAGGGTTGCGATCCCGTTGCCGGTCCCCGGTACGGGCGCGACACCGAGGGTTGCAATCCCGTTACCAGTCAGTAAAAAAGACAAAAAAGGAAAAAAAAAATACATAAGTTTTCCAATATTAAAAGTAATGATGCTATGGAAAAAAATAGACCTGGGAACAGGGTTGCAATTTTAAATAAGATGGTCAGGGAGGGCTTCGTTGAGAGGGTCATTTGAATAAAGACATAAACAAAGAGAAGTAGTGAGTCTTGCAGATATCTGGGTCAGATTGTTCCAGGTATAGGAAAGAGCAAGTGCAAAGGTCCTGTAATGGAAGTATGCTTAGAATATTACAGAACTTATATGTTTATGTCCTTTACCTACTCTATTTAAGATGGAGAGTGTTAAGTATATTTTAGGAGGCAAGACAAGAGGCAGGAAGACAAGGTTGTTCATGAGACAATCATAGTTTCTATTGGTATCACTCACTGAAACTCTTAATGTGAAGTAGATAATTTAGGAGAGATATCTATAGTCTGCTTGGCAATTATTTGCTATGAAAATACGTACTACTAATTAGGAGTTATATGGTATTTTGAAAAGGGATGAGTACGGTTCTTTTTCTTTTTTATTCAACTAACTGCCTTTATTTTTTAGAGTTTTAGGTTTACAGAAAAATGAATAGAAAACGCAGAGTTCTTTTATACACACACAAATGTATACCCTCCCTGCCCTGACCAATTCCCCATTATTAACATCTTGCGTTAGTGTGGTACATTTGTTACAATTGATGAGCCAATATTAATACAATGTCATTAATTAAAGTCCATAGTTTATATTAGGGTTTACTCTTTATATTGTACATTCTATGGGTTTTGACAAATATATAATGATATGTATCCAACCATTACAGCATCATTCAGAATAGTTTTGCTGCCCTAAAAATCCCCTGTGCTCTACCTGTTTATCCTTCCCTCCACTGATCTTTTCACAGTTTCTATAGTTTTACCTTTTCTGGAATGTCATATAGTTAAAATCATATAGTAGACAGCCTTTTCAGATCAGCTTTTTTAAAATTTTAATTGTTGTTTTAAAAAACATAAAATTTGCCATCTTAGCCATTTTTAAGTATACAGTTCAGTAGTGTTAACTACAGTATTCTCCCTCCCCTGGC